GGGCCGCGTGGCGCCGCCGCGCGCTCCCCTCGGGTGCGCGCCAGGGCTGCTCTGAAGGTGGGATTTAGAAACTGCGTCATTAAGTGGAGCTACAGCTTTTCCCGCGTTCATTCACTCCGTTCTTCTTCAACATGACGTGCTGACGGCGTAGAACCTACTTTGTCTTTTGAAATCCCGATTTTTTAAAATTCCGGCGTGTTTAATTTGTCTCTAAACAGAAGGTGGCAGCACGTTATGTAGTTTAACGTTGAACACGGGGAAGAGCTCGAGCTATTTTACAACGCATGGAGGTGGTGGAGGAGTTCATGCTTTGAACAGTAGAACTAGCGGCAGTTGCAAACTCCTCTGTATTGCCAATCAGCTCTTGGTGAAGGCACCTGCAAGCGTGGCTTTTAGGGCTGGCGAAGTCAAGCGGGATCACCAGATCGTATACGCAGGTGTTCGAGAGTGCAATGCAATAAAATCGAAATGCAGAAAATAACACTTTCCTCAGTGACACCAGCAATGTGCTTCAAGTGCACGTACACAGGTAGAGGCACTGTGGTGAACCTAGCGACGTACTGGATAGCTTGGACTGGCAACACATGAAATTTTGTTGTAGAAGCTTGGCGTATTTTGAAAGCTGCTTCAGATTAATAATTTGAGTACGTTTATTATTTTTTCCACGAGCAGATTGTGAACATCATAATTTGTTTGAAATATGAATTCATTTTCCTTGAGGAGATGAAAAAAATGTCATTCCATGGCAAAATGAATGAGGTTAAATGACTCATGAATCATATTCTTCAGAAATTTCTGGGGTATCGGAAAGCCTCAGTAAAGCTGAGGTCCAAAACCCAGATCTGTGCCTCTCATCTGCACAGATTTTCTGACTCAGATTGAACACTTTCCTTTTTCCCAACAGCCGTTTATTTTGTTTCTGCATGTGGGAAATGCAACCTACTCCCTTTTAAAATTTTTAAGACAGAGTTAAGTAAGAAACTGAGCCAATTAAATTAGAATTTAATAAAATACTTGGGATCTACCAACTTCATAGGCAATAGGACTTGCAGAAACAGGGAAGTGCGGGTTTGGTGACATTTTGTGGCAAGCTGGGAAAGCCCAGATGCTGATGAAGGCCCAGGAGCGTGAGTGTTGCTGTGGCTGATAAACTTCAGACACGCATACCTCTGCATTACTGGCATGCAGCGGCCACAGCCATGGATGTGAGAAAGAAAGCGTAGTCTCCAAGTGTCTTGTCACCTTACTAGTGAGGGTTAACTGCAGAGAAATCTTTCTCCTCTCACCCTTGTTATTTTCCTCAAATTGATGCTTTGAAAAAATGCTTTTTTCTTCTAGACACTCTGATGCAAAAACGTTTCTCCAGTGGATTCGAAAGCTTTGTGCTTCTGGGACAGTCCATGGCGTGACTTACAGATGGAGGGGTTTTTGCCTTAAAAGGGAAAGTGATTGACTAATCCTCCATCTGCCATTAAACCTTGTCAGGAAAGAGGGAGTGGGAGACATCCAGCAGCCTTCCCGGCTCCACTTCAGACCCACCACCCACCCCCTCAGGCAGTGAACATGCAGAAGGCCCCCTCTAAATCTAGTGTGTATTTAACAGACCAGCTTCTAAAATAACATGAACAAGCCAGGAACCTTGTCCACTAAATAGGTGCAGCACTTCAGCAAACCTGGCACCAAATTTAATATTGTGCCAGGCCAAGCAAGTGCAAAAGAGCCAAGC